AGTGGGGTTTTTAAGGGTAATTTTAAGGGTAATTTTAAATGATTGGCCTTTTCAAATATTTTCTTTTAATTTGGTTTTAATGTAGATATTTATTGTATTGTGGTTTTATAAGGCTGTGAGCCGCCCTGAGTCCGGTGAGGAGAAGGGCGGGGTACAAATTAAATTATTATTATTATTATTATTATTATTATTATTATATATATATATACACAAAACACATTACACTTCAACACAAAGACATTGTCTGACAGGGTTAAACTTAACAGCTACATGAAGTTTCAAAACATTCCAATTGTTCAAAACGCATTGCAGAGGAGTGCATTTTGAGTTAATTTATGTCTTTAAATTATTCTGAAGATTCCCCTTATTATTTTTTCTACTTCAAGATAGTTTCTCTAATATTTTCTTTGTGGGGGTGTATGAGGTCTGAGAAGAAGCAAAAGAATTAGCCTCTTCAGAAGAAGCTGGAAATCCAATTAAAGGTGCTTCAGGAGGGAGAAGTTTTACTTGGTTGTAATCAGAAGGGGGGCTGGTAGTTAATTGCTGCCCTTCTGAAGCATCTGAGCCAAGGTTTTCCACTGCCAGACGGCACTGATACCATACTGAAGCCCGGGGTTCAAGATGTAAAGCAGTGGTTCTCAACCTGTGGGTCGGGACCCCATTTGGGGTCGATCGACCATTTCACGGGGGTCGCCAAGCAAGGCTGTCTGCCATTTTTTTGTCTGGCTTTTTTTTGTCCGCCATTTTTTTTCCCCTTTTCCGGCGGGTGCCTTACCTCCCTTGGGCTGGGCCACCTGGTGGTCGGCCTGCTCCGTCTCTGCCGCTTGACAGCTACGCCTCGGCCGGCGCAGGGGGCGGAACCATGCATGTGCGGTGCTCCCGGGCAGGGAAAGTCCTCGACTTACGACCGGTTGGGTAGTCCTCGACTTACGACCAGTTTAGTCCTCGACTTATGACCGGTTGGGGTCGCGGCATTAAAAAGGTTGAGAACCAATGATGTAAAGTATGCCCTATCTTTTCCCAATCTCGTAACCTAAGCGTTCCATGCTCCGGATACCAAGGGCAGTGTTTCCCTATCTCCTCCACCAGCGTCCTTTTCTGCTGGGGCTGAGATAGCTTGCAGCCCATACTCACCACTGAGGGGTCTCGTGAGACGAAAGTGCACTTAGGGGTCTATTCCAGACGATGGTAAGTATGTTGGTTGCTGCTTCTTCCTGGAGGGGTCCCAAACGTCCCTGTTGTACGGGTGCCAGATGTAGTAATCAGTGCTCAGTCATTGCAGGGTGCAAATAATGGCCGCTCACAGGCAGCAGTTTATTCTTTATATACAGTATTACAAGCAGGAAAAGGTTTAACATGGCAACAGCCTAGCAATAGCACTTCATTGGTTAATCTCCTTACCAATGCTTAAGGATAGAAAGCAAGAGGCCAGAAAGAGGGAGAAGTGGGCAATAACATATTGTTGATGCGAGCTGTTATCAGACAAGCAAGGTCACACAGAGCTATGCACTTTCACATCGCTCTGGTGATGTGAAGGGGGGAGTTAGATGCAGAGAGGAGGGGCACACGTTAGGAGGGACAGTTTTCTGATCACCACCTTTATCTGTCTCTCACCTCCACAGAAAGGAAGGAGATGGAGAAGGAAGGAGATTGAAGGAGGAAGGAAGGAAGCAAGGAAGGAAGGAAGGAAGGAAGGAAGGAGAGAGAGATTGAAGGGGAAGGGAAGGAGATGGATTGAAGGAAGGAAGGAAAGAAGGAAGGAAGGAAGGAAGGAGAGATTGAAGGGGAAGGGAAGGAGATGGATGGATGGATGGAAGGAAGGAACGAAGTAAGGAAGGAATGATCTTTGGAGAGTAATGTTTTCCCAGATGGTGATGAACTGCAACTCCCAGCACTCCTCACTCTTCCACAGTGCTTTTTAGGGCTGCTGGGGATGGTAGTCCAGTAAGGTCTGGAGACACACACAGATGCCCTAGCAGGGAAAATTGGCCGGGTAATTGCTGCGGCTTTACTTGGAGGCATTCTGCAGCTCCTGAAAATCACTTTAACCAATTTTCCCTGGTTCAGCAAAGGCAACAAGTAATNTTAGGGCTGCTGGGGATGGTAGTCCAGTAAGGTCTGGAGACACACACAGATGCCCTAGCAGGGAAAATTGGCCGGGTAATTGCTGCGGCTTTACTTGGAGGCATTCTGCAGCTCCTGAAAATCACTTTAACCAATTTTCCCTGGTTCAGCAAAGGCAACAAGTAATAAAACAAGCAACAGGTACCGGTAATAAAATAGCACAAATTGTCCTTTCCAGCGCAGATGAAAAGAACCAGGGAAAGGGAAATCGCGTCTGCCTCTTTGACCAACGGGAGGAGAAGCGGTAGGAAAAATGCGGCGTTTCGGCTTGGGCACACAGCCTTGCCTGCAGGCGCTGCCAAGGACACACAAGCAGCTCCGCACAATTGCCCGGGGAGGGGGGGAGGCTCTGGCGGAGAGCCTGGTGGAGAGCCAAGCGGCGTCACCTCCGGGGCCTCAGAAGCCGCGCGGACGATCCGCGCGCCTCGGAGCCGCTAGCCGCCCTCTCGCGCCTGCCAACCTGGAGCCCTCCATCCTCATCCCGGCACCTCTTGCCCTCTCCCAGCCACTCCTCCGGGACCTGCCCGCCCCTCCAGCCTCCTAAGCGCCATCGCAGCGGTGAAGTTGCGGGAGCCCCTTTCCACGCCGCGCAGCCCTTCACCGCCAAACCCTTCCCCGATTTGTTGCACATGAGAGGGGCACGGCCGGAGCGCCAGCTCCCACTCGGAAGGCGCCACTTCTCCCCTCCTGGGCCGGCCGGCTGGCCTCCGACGCACATGCAGGCATCGCTGCCGCCTCGCCCTCTTCCCCGCCGCCTGGCCACTTCTGAGACACGGAGCCCGTCGAGCTGGGAAGGAGCTGCTCCTGCCTGCCAGCTCCAGTGCTGCGCCGGGCGCCAGAGGGCCGAGGCAGCCTCCGACGGCAAGGGAGGCGGGCTGGGTGGTGCGGGGGAGGCTCTGGCGCGGCGTGGAGGGTGGCCGGGCAACCAGGAGGCGTGGGGACCGGCTCAGCTCAGCTCCCTCTCTCTATTTCTCTCTCCCTCTCAAAGATCCTTAAAATCCTTAAAAGTTATGCTTGGGCGAAAGATTTTTTTCTTTTACAGATGGCGTGGGTGGGCCTGACATTCGCTGGCAGGCAGGACCACGCCCGCCATGCCGTCACCTCCCCACCACCCTCCACGCCAGCTGGCTCTGTCGCCGGACCTCCCAGCTGACGGGAGCAGGTCCGGGGGTCGCCAGCTGACAGGCGCAGGAGGTAGGCGCCGCGGCGGCCTCCCAGCCACCTGCTTCTTCGGCTGGACGCAGCGCCGAACTCCTGTGCCTGTCAGCTGGGAGGTCTGGCGACAGAGCCAGCTGGCGTGGAGGTCGATGGGGAGGTGGCGGCTCGGTGGGCGGGGTCCTGCCTGCTCATGAATGTCGGGCCCACCCGCCCCATCTGTAAAAGAAAAAAATCTTCCGCCCAAGCATAACACCAGCAGTTCTGTGCCACGGAGGCTTGAGACACGGAGGCATGGGACGCAGAGCGGCGCGGCGCCATGGGAGGTGGCAGGACAGGGGGGAGGGGTTACCTGCATCCTGCCAGCCGAATTCTGGAAGCCTGCCTGAATGAAGAATTTTAGGGGGTGTTGAAAGCGAGACTGAGCACTGTATTAAGGCCATAGATGGCTGCGTAAGGAAAGTGGAAGGGAGGCGAATTTGGGGTGGAGCAGAAAACATGGGGGGAAGGCCGGGCCCCACGTGCGCCAGCTACCCTCCCAGCGCCCGCCATTGCCCCCCGTTCGGTGTGGCGGCAGGCAGGCCCAGGCGCTCCTGGGCAGCCCTCCCACCCCTGGCCCTCTTTTACTTACATTTAGTAGTTGCTCAGCAGGGAGGGGTGGAAATTTCCAGAAAGCTCGCCTTAGCTGCAGACAACTTGCAGCAACGTTTGCCGACTGGGACTTTTGGCAGGCTCAGCAGGGCAGAGACAGCCTGGACAATTCCTATTGGCTTTTGAAAGCCAATAGAATTAGACTCTATTCAAGAGAGTCTATTCTATTGGCGTTCGAAAGCCAATAGAAACTATTAGCTTTCGACTGAAAGCACCTAGAATCTAGTCTGGGGGCTGTATCCTAGGTTTTTAACCCTTAATCTCAAAGAAAAATCTGAGACAGAGGCAAAATGGTGTTGAAAGAAAAATCAGGTCCAGTTCCAAGCCAGGAGTAAATAAAATGGAGGCTAGCTGCTTAGGAAAGAAGGTTTAATGATGCTTAGAACCAACAGCAGCATGCAGTTCTGGGACAGCTGACAAAATGAAGCTGAGAGTGGGTGGGTTTTTATACTATCTTTGAGCTTTGTATTTAAGATGCCTGTTCCTGTGCAATGTACTTTGACCAGTTCTTCAGTGTGCCCTTTTGGTATTCTAATTATTGTTGCCTGACTCCCATTGTGGCTGGGAGGTCAAGTCCTGTCCTTGGAGCTGGGAATGTAAATTCTTAATCCCATCAGCTGTGGGGGCTGAAGGCATTTTGCTTATGAATAGTGTGCCCCAGTCTTTCTGAATGGATTACCAAATATCCATTTCTAAAGATTGGCTTCCTAGGGTTTCTTAGTTTGAAGCTGTTTTTTCTTATGGCAGGGAGGCTGGGGCTGCTTTCTGCCTTTGTTAAGATTTTTCTCCATTTCTCCTTTAGGGGAAATAGTCTATCCCACCTTTTTTTAATATTCCCCAAAATATTTCATTCTCGGGGGTGGGGTGCTCACTTCCTACAATGACTTAGTGAAACTCTGCCAAATATTAGGTCACATTCTAGGCAGTGTCTGAGGTTGAAGCCTTGCTCGCAAACTCTATTCAGTGTAAATTAAAATAAAGCCTTCACCTCCCGCCTTGCCCTGGTCTAATGCAGGTTATAGGTATCAGAGCCCAGGCTGTATCCGGAAGAGAACGGGGTTTGGTATATGGCACTGTTCACATTGTACAAGGCAGGCATGGAGGAGGTGAATGCGCTAGCACCTGGTCCATAGCCGCTTCTCTGGGAGTTGGTAGCAAAGGGGCAAGACGTAGGCTCCGCATGTTGGAAGAGAGAAGCAGCCCCCGTCGTATATTTGCTAAAAAGAGCATTCACATAATACGAAGAACTCATAATTTTGACTGACGATTTGTTGTCCGGTAGGCTTCGGTGTCGGTTTTATGAGGTAGCGTGATATATGATAACATTACACCCCCAGATTTACACCAAACTCCATTTTCTTTTGGACCGAGCTGCTTCCCCCACGTGACCAGTCATATGACCCCCATCCGCCAATCTGCCCCTGCATCACAGGTGGTAGAGATCAGGGAAGCGCACAAGGTCCTGTAATAGAAGGGAAGAGCATCACAGCCGCGCCTCGCGAATGACCGAAAGCAGCCGAGGGACTCTTCCTCAGACGGGCTGCCACATAACATTTGGAAAGCTAACGCCGGCCGTCTTACGCCTTCGCCCACCCTTCTCTTCCGCTTCTGCCAACGGGGCTGGGGGTGACGGAGTTGTTATGCGCTTTCTTTAAATCTCCCCCAGCCCCAAGACAATCTCTCTCTTACCACTTCAAATAAACTACCGGCTGCATTTGGAGTCCCCCCCCCCTAGTTTCTGTGCTGTGGGCAGCCTTTTGGCGTGTTCTGTTCCGAAAAAAAGAGCAGTTGCACCTACCCAACAACCTCCTTAATATAGTCCCTCCCAGCTTAGTCAACTGCAAACACGGGCTTTCTTTCTCATTCTTGGCCGGTGAGCTTGTGCGCATTAGTAGACATCGACACAAACGCATCGCCACCACCGTGTTCCTCTTCTTTTTCCTGCAGAAAAGGAAACGGCATCACGCACATGGTCGTTCCATCTCTCTTTGTGCATTAATAGGTTTAGAACATAGGACATAGAATAATAGGGTTGGAAGTGACCTTGGAGATCCTATACCATTCTGGACTTTTCTTTGCGCTTGATGGGATGGATACACATGATCATAGAAAGAATAACAGAATTTGTAGGATTCGGTAAAAATGGTTGTTCTCCTATTTTGCTAGCACATTTCTTGAGATACTGACACCCTATTTGTGGTTTAGGAATGGCAAAGGCTCCTCTTCTGTTGCCAACTTCCCTGCCTAGAAAAGGGCGCTGGGGCGGGAACGGATCCTAGTTTGTTTGGAAGTTTTTCAAAGAGGATCTGCCTGATTTTGCCAGCTATTCCAGGGAAGGCTACATCAGAAAACTCCTTGCAGGAATTATTAGCTGGCCTGCTCTACCCAATAACACCGCCCTGGTTTGTTTGGTTTTTTTTTTTTAAACGTATTTGCAGTGACAAAATAAACGGGCTTTCATAACCGTTGGGAAGGGGAATCTCCTCGAGTATGGATAATAATAATATAATAATAAAGTTGGAAGGGACCTTAGAGGTCATCTAGTCCAACCCCCTGCTCAGGCAGGAAACCCTATACCATTTTGGACAAATGGCCTCCAGTCCCCTAATCATCTTTGTTGCTCTTCTCTGTACTCTTTAGAGTCTCAACATCATTTTTACATCGTGGTGACCAAAACTGGATGCAGTATTCCAAGTGTGGCCTTACCAAGGCATTGTAAAGTGGTATTAATACTTCTCGTGATCTTGATTCTATCCCTCTGTTAATGCAGCCCAGCACTGGGTTGACTTTTTTGGCAGCTGCAGCACACTGCTGGCTCATATTTAAGTGATTGTCCACTAGGACTCCGAGATCCCTCTCACAGTTACAACTGTTGAGCAAGGTACCTACTATAATATACCTGTACATTTGGTTTTTCTTGCCTAAATGTAGAACCTTACTTTTTTCACCATTGAATTTCATTTTGTTAGATAGCGCCCAGTGTTCAAGTCTGTCCAGATCCTCCAGTATCTTAAGCCTGTCTTCTGGAGTGTTGGCTATTCCTGCCAGCTTGGTGTCCTCTGTAAATTTGATGAGTTCCCCATCTATCCCCTCATCCAAATCGTTGATGAAGATGTTGAAGAGCACTGGGCCTAGAACAGAGCCCTGGGGCACCCCACTACACACTTCCCTCCATGTAGATGCAGTTCCATTGAGGACCACACGCTGAGTACGGCCGGTCAGCCAGCTACGAATCCATCTGGTGGTGATGCTGTCTAACCCACTTTTTTCTATCTTATCAAGTAGTAGGTTGTGGTCTACTTTATCAAATGCCTTACTGAAGTCCAAGTAAATTATATCCACAGCATTCCTCTGATCCACTAATTTTGTCACTTGGTCAAAGAATGCAATAAGATTTGTCTGGCATGATCTGTTTTTGACAAACCCATGTTGGCTTTTAGTAATGACTTTGTTTGCCTCTAGGTGTTCTCTGATTCTGTTCTCTGATTCGTTGTTTGATTATCTTTTCCAGAATCTTCCCAGGTATTGAGGTCAGGCTGATAGGTCTGTAATTTCCTGGATCCATTTTTTTTCCTTTTTTGAAGATGGGAACCACATCAGCTCTTTTCCAGTCCTCTGGTAGTTCCCCAGTGCTCCAGGATCTTTGAAAAATATAGTTCAGTGGTTCTGAGATCATATCTGCCAGTTCCTTGAGAACCTTGGGGTGTAATCCATCTGGTCCTGGTGATTTGAACTCGTGATTTGAACTCGATTTGAACTGGGATGAGGACGTTGAAACGTAAATCTTTTTTAAAAGCCCTGATTCTTCAGGAAACACCTACCTTTGAGGATCTTCTATGCTTGGGCCAAGGCAATGCCGCCTCCCCACAGATCACGGACAATAGGACTCCTTATTGTTTAAGAATCCCCCCTCCACACACACATGCAGCCCATCCCGGGAGAACCTGGTGCATCTCTTGTCCCCCGCCCCGTCCCCCGCCATAAAATGAATTTCCTCCCCTCGGTGAAGTTTGCACAGAGGCATCTTTTACTGCTCTGCTGTATTCCACATCATAAACTGGAAGACAATGGAATTGTCCCGGAAACTCCCCCCTTAAATTATGGAACTGGGTATCCTGTGTCTACAAAGAGCCTGCCACGTGCTAGAAACTGCCACTGGTGATATTTCTCACTGGAGCTTTGAGAGGTTATATTTCGGCACTACCGCCCCAGCCAGTCCAGTTAAAGGACCAATAAAGCCCATCATAGAATAGGACCGTGGACTGAAATGGTGATCCTAATAGTGTAATCCTATGGACGCAGATGAGTCCCCTGATCCTCCAATTCATTCATTCATTCATTCATTCATTCATTCATTCATTCATTCTATGGCGATGTTAGCCTGGAGACTACAATGCTAATGCAGCGTTTTGTTTAGGGGCAGGAATCCGAGGTCGTACTGTTTGGGCTCTTTTCTCCCCACAATTTTGATCCGCATCCTAAGATGACTGTCAGAAACAAAGGAAGGCCAAGAGAAGGCTCCCTCTCTACCAACCCCATTCTCCTTCCAGGAAAATCTTTTTGAAATCAAACAAACAACCTCCAAAAGCCAATGAAACGGCTAAGAAGTGGAAAGAAAGCAAAGGGAGCGCGCAAAGGCAACCTAGACCAAAAAAGCAGCCAGGTACCTCAACATTGAACCGATAAACGCCTCTCTGGGAACAGCACACAAGATGGAAGAGGGGAGCAAGACAGCAAGCAGAAGCTGCACTGGAGGCATGGCTCCTGATAAGGCACAGCAAGGCTTCACACCTGACTCTGTAACACCCCCCCCCCCTTCCTTAAATTGGTTCAGGGACGACCAAGACAAGATGCTGGTTTCTGAAGTCTGGGGGGGATAGACTTAATAAAAAAATAAAACGATCACGTTTTCTAAAGTCTGTAAACGTTCGAAATTTTTCACAAGAGTTGTGTAGCAGTAATAGGTGGATGCACACGCACACACTCTTACACGCAACCTGAGAAAGGGCTGTTTTCTGAACGTCTAAATTCTCTCTGTACTCCTCCCCATAAGGTCTGAAGCACGCTCCCAGCTTGTCACAGAAGTATGGTTGAAAAGCTCTCTCTTTTTCTATTTTAAGCCTTGTTCTGGCTCTGATGTATAAATACGGAAAATTCCTGCAGTTCAAAAAAAGAAAAGAGATCCTGTACGCTGCATTCTCTTTAGAAACTTGTTTAGAGGTGCGCGCGCACAGACGCAGCCTAAAACGACCCTTTTCTTATATTGCTTATTGCATTTCATTTATTTCTGTATTTTCAAATAAAACTCCTACACCTACCACGTTTTCCTCTATCTAATGAGCACCATGCCTTCAAAAATAATATGTTATCTAGAAAGACGTAAATTGCTTTGTTATGTCCTGGGAAATCTTTGCTAAAATGAAAGTGCCGTTTCAAAATAATACTGAACTGCTAACGCTTTAAGGTTGTTTTCTGCATCAGGAAGCAAAATATTTACTGATTGTGTTGGATCACAGTTTTAATTTTACTATTTGGCATATCTGAGTTTCCCTCTCCTTAATTAGTCTTGGCTGTTCAATTAAAAATGTTTATATGAGTTATTTAACTTTTGCATTTCGCTGCAGGTGAAGTGGTTTGGAATAACATCACCAAGCTTTAATATATTGTATTAAACAATATAATATATTATTAAAGAATTACCTTAACAATAAAAATTGCATTGAGAAACTGTGAGAGGTCTTAATCCATTCATATACATTCCATTTTTCAATAGAAGCATCTATTAAACATAAATGTTGCATTCCCTCCATAGGCTTCCAATATTTTAATTGTCAGTTATAATTGGTTGTTTTCCCTTCCTGGATTCTTATTATAGAATTAAACCAGTATGCCTTCCATGCTTAAATCTTTCTTCACTGGTTCCGTATGGTTCCTTTGGCGACAGGTTTGTTTGTGCATGTGTGCATGTAAAAGAGGTGTACATTTTCAACATTTTCCCGATAATATATTTTTCTTTCATTTTGATGCATTGCATTTATGTTTCCTATGTTTTGAAGACCTATTACAGCTAAACATGAATTCCAGTCATCTGCTTTCAGAGTGTGTGCCTCACTCTGCTGAAATGAGAATAAATGGAGCCCTCCAGAGCAGAAGAAAAAAAGAGGCATTAATTTTTTGTCAGAAGAAGCATAAAATATAAGGGAAAAATGTCTAGAATAAAAATGTACAGACATTTGTACAGCCGGTATTGTG